AAACTAATTAACTTTATCATAAAAACTTTTGAATGGTTTTGTGTTATGAAGAGCCAGTAGCCATAGCTTTTCAAATGTGCTCAGTATAATAATATTTCACTACTCATATGGAAGTCATGCAGTAATACATGAAATGTAGGTTCTTCAAATAAGGCAGCAGGGTATTGTACACCCTATCCCATGCAGAGAACATGTAGGTCTGCTTCCTTAGTCACCTGAGGGAATTTGTTTTCAGTGAATAAAAAAAATTTTCTAAAATGACAAAAATGTAGAAGAATTTCATAGAATCATAGAATCATTTGGGTTGGAAGGGACCTTAAAGGTCATCCAGTCCAACCCCCCTGCCATGGGCAGGGATACCTTCCACTACACCAGGTTGCTCAAAGCCCCATCCGCCTGGCCTTGAACACTTCCAGGGATGGGGCATCTACAAATCTCCCTGATCAGCCTGTCCCGGTGCCTCACCACCCTCATAGTGAAGAATTTCTTCCTTTTATCTAGTCTGCATCTACCCTCTTTTAGTTTAAAACCATTACCCCTTGTCCTTTTGTGACAGGTCCTATTAAAAAGTCTGTCCCCATCTTCCTTATAAGCCCCTTTTAAGTACTGAAAGGCCACAGTAAGGTCCCCCTGGAGCCGTCTCATCTCCAGGCTGAAGAAGCCTAACTCAGCCTTAAGAATGATCTTGTACATCATTTTCTTCACATTACTGTGGACTAAACGTGTCTTCCTTAGTTCCTCCAAAGATACAGCGTGGACCTCGAGTTTTGAAAGTCCAAGCCGGCCACAGAGTTGACATACCCTGCAGTGCCCAGGGGATCCCTCCCCCAACAATCACTTGGTTCAAAGGCAGAAATGCTGTTCCGATAGATGGTGGGCAGTTTACCCATAGCCTGGATGGAGCTCTAAGCATCAGCAATGTCCAGCTTCCTGATGCCGGAATCTACAAGTGTGTCGCTGGTAACACAGCGGGCAGTGACGCAGCAGAGATAACAGTACAAGTTCAAGGTATTTATGTTAGGGCTGTAATCTTGCCTGCTGCCATGGCTAGGTATGATTTCCTGCCAGTGCTGACTGGTTTATGTTTTGGAGACCATTGCTCTTTGCTGTTGACTGTTACATTATGCAGAATCCAAATCTGTTTTGATGTTATGTTCTGATGTTAATTAAGGAAAATTAAAATAGGCAAATAGTCTTTGGAGAGTTTTCAGAAATAAGAAAAAGAAATTAGAAATATATTACCTTTATTTTTACTAAAAAAGTAAAATCTTCAAGCTCCTTCTGATTTGGTTTTGTCATAGGTAATTAAAATCAGATTCCAGTATGGGAAACCTCTTTTCAAATATTATGTCCCTGTGTTCAGATGTCTCATATTTTCAGAGACTGTCTCTGAACCTCTAAGCCTGGCATCACTGCTTTAAATGGAATTGGAATTTTGCATGAGCTGAAATTGAGCTTTAACTTAAGTTAATCAGTTAGTATGCTATAGAATGGTGATGGGGCAACAGTGGTCAACGTGCCAATTTAAATATGTAGTATAACTCCTTACTTGATGGGCTGACATACGTCAATGTAGTATGACTGATTTAAGCTAAGCAGGAATTATTTCTTCTTTGTAACAGTCTAAAGGCAACATTCTGATCCCTTTCAATTAGAGGTGCTGAGAACCTCTTGTTACAAACAACGAAGAACTGCTGTTAACTTCACTTAATTATAAATAATATTCTTTGTGTAGTCTCAGTCCACACACAAGTTTAAAATGAGATGCAAGAACAAAGGATGGAAGTAGTACTAATATGTGGTGTGAAGAAAAAACAATTTAAATAGTATTTTTCAGATTTTGCAGAAACACTGTCTCTACCTTCAAAACAAATGTAGTCAGTTTTAGAGAGAACCAGTTTCAGTCAAATTTGAAAGCCTCTTTGTACTGCTTACTTCCTAAGTATTCCCATTGAAATCAAGACTGCTTTTATAGTGCACTTCATCAATGTAAAGGGTGTTATTGAAACCTGACCTTGTGTGAAGGAGAGACACTTAAGTGTTATGTATTGCCAGACCGTATTTTCACATTTGGGAGCAGAGATCAAGATTTTTTTGGGGTCTAATTTTCTTTCAGAGTCTCCTACTATTGATGATCTGGATCCTCCGTACAATAATCCCTTTCAAGAAAGAGTGGCAAATCAACGCATTGCATTCCCATGCCCAGCAAAAGGTGTGTATCATTGTTGCCACCTTTAGAGACGAAAGTATATTTTTCTGTTGACCATTGAAAATTACTAAGTTTCTATGTGTTCCTCGTCATGGTAAAAATGTACAATCTGCACAGTATTTTCCATATATACTTTATGTGGAAAAATTTAAACTAATTTAAATAACCACGGTGTGGGGAAGTTCTGTGAGAAGTCATTGTTAGCCAATAAGGATATTACGATGCTTAGGACTAAGATTTTTAATGTTAAAATTATACCTTGACAGTCGTGGCTTCCTCTAAGTTTAAAAGCTCATGGCCTCCCTGTGCATTGTCCTTGCTGGTAAGACTTCCAGCAAGCAGTGGGAATTGTTTGAATCTCTCATATTCTGAGATGAGCGAACCATTTCTTGAAGTTTCACCTTTTTCTTGTTAGGTATTCCAAAGCCTGTTATCAAATGGCTACATAATGGAAGAGAGCTGACAGGCAGCGAACGAGGGATTTCAATTCTGGATGATGGGACACTGCTGATAGCTTCTGTTACACCTTCTGATAATGGAGAGTATATCTGTGTGGCAACCAATGAAGCTGGAAGCACAGAGAGAAAATACAACCTTAAAGTTCATGGTAAATCATAAATACAACTATTGGGGAACTGGTTTTGAAGAACATCTTCTCCTTGATTGTTGGAAATTGCATGCCCCAAATCTGCCCATGTGCAGTTAAATTATAAAATCTAATCGGAGTACTTGTGTTTCTATTATTCTGATACTCTCTCTATTTTTCCTGTTGTTTCTATTCTCTGTGACTTTATGCACAAACTATCTTTGGTTTGCTCAGAGAGCTAGGTGCATCTCAGTTGTAGGTGACTCTAGTTATACTTGAAAATTTTAATGCAAATAACAAGTGAAGACTTGTAGAAATTAAAGACTGGGTGATAGATGTGCATTTCAAATATAAATATGAGAAAAGGTATTTATCAGGATGAACATAGAGTAGGAGAATTCTTGCTCCTGATATTCTTCTTCCAGAATCCTAACTGGAAAATAGAAACCCTACAGGTGGCCTTGAGATGTGGTTTGATATTTTGCTTCTTACAGAGTACTTGTATTCCAACCTTGTTCACTTCCCATGCTAGTTAGTTCTGATGCCTGAGCGGGATTATCTTTACCTTTATTCTGAGAAAAGAGGAATTCCATCTTGTGTGAGCAGGGCTCATCTGTGGGTTCGAACTTTCTAATCCACCACATAAGGCCATTCTCTCTGCATTCATAGTGGGACAAATGATAGGCAGATGTTCATGAGGATGACTGGAGCAGTGAAGATGAAGGATGACTCTGGAATCTACTTACTTTATATGCTAAGCAAATAACATGGGATTTTAAGATTAAGATCAAATTTAAGGTTAAATAAAATTAAATTTAAGATTAAATTTTAAGATTATTCTCTTAAAATGTTGATGGTGATTGTGTTTGAGTGAATTTCCTTGGGAGTCTGTTATTGGGCAAGAGGAGACTCTGTCTTTTGAGAAAGAGAAGAAAGGACGCAGGGAGATATGTCCAGAGCCAAAAGACAAATGGAAACATGGGGGAGGGAACGGAAAGGGTCTGATAAATTTAGATTACAGTGATGCTTGACTTGGGGGGAAGGAGGAAGTGGGAAATCACTGGAATAGAAGGCTTACTACCTGATTTTGAGCTTTCTTGTAGTTCCTCCTGAAATTAGAGATCAAGAAAAGGTGACAAATACATCTGTAGTTGTTCATCACCCTGTAAGTCTCTTCTGTGAAGTATCTGGTAACCCCTTCCCAATCATCTCCTGGTATAAAGAAGATATCCAGGTGTGTACAATTAACCTAACTGAAGTAACATAGCCATCATCAGCCAGTTTTTTGTTGACTTTTGAGCGCTTGGTATGAGAACTCATTTCAAGTAAATACTCGTATGTGCCTGTATGTATATTTAAACTGCACAAAGAACACCCACATAGAAAGCCAGCTAAATGTGGCTAATCCATTAATTCATCTGTTCAATAAGTCAAAAGTAAACTTTTTATTTTCAAAATTCCCCTAGGAATTAGCATTAGCAATCTCTCAGTATTGTAGATGCCAGAGTCCTTGCAGAGGGGGAAAATAACAGTATTTTCTTCATTCTGTAGATGGAGAAGTAAAAACTCTCGGAGGTTTGAATTCCTCGGGATTATCCTTGAGTCCTATTCTTCTACTTGTAGCTGATAAGTGGTAGTTTAAGATGAGGAGAGACCCCTTTATGCACCTTTGTGACTGACCATTACTGATGGGCAAAGAATTTCTTTGGTTTTCCCACTCTCTATTGTATGTTGAGCTACAAGTCATATTGAATAGATTGCAGAAGTTGAGATTAGTGCTGTAACTGAAAGGGGAAACATTATCCTTAGACTAAAACTACTATTTTCTTATAAAAATCCAGCTGTGATATTTGGCTGATGTTACTTGGATCACATAAGGCTAATGTCTTGGGTTCTTTTCAGGTTGTGGAAAGCAGTACTCTCCAGATTTTGCACAACGGGAAGATACTGAAGCTCCTTAAAGCTGCTACTGATGATGCTGGACAATATTCATGCAAAGCTGTAAATGTAGCAGGAAGTTCTGAGAAGCTGTTTAACCTAGATATACTAGGTTAGTTCTGTGGTTCTGTTTGTTTGTTTGTTTTTAAGATGGTGATCTGAAAAACAGTTGATACTTAAGAAGCCATTACATTTCAATTTATTATAAATTAATCCTTTCTCTCACTGGCCATTAAATATTGGCTACTGAAGCACTCTTCATGGTGGCTTTTGAAGACTGAAAATTTGCCATTCTCTCAGTAACACAGAAAAAATGGTCCTTTTCACTTCTGGATTTTGGTACTTTGTTTTGTATTTTGGGTGTACAGCAGTCTAACATAAGAGTCTTCTTAGGTTCAGTTCACCAGCACAAGTGTTGAAGTGTCATGGTGGAAATGATGTTGTGATCTAGCAGGAGTCAACTTTGCAGTGAAAATGGAAGTTGTTTCAAGGGAATAGCATGATCCACTACTGCATTTCTTCCAGTTTCATAGTATACCTTCCTGGTTAAATACCAGTTCTTTCTATAATGTTTGTCTTTTTAAAGTTCCACCAAGTATAATAGGTGCTGATACCCCTGGTGAAACTACAGTCATCCTCAACCAGGAAATCAGTCTGGAATGTAGAGCCAAAGGCTTCCCTTTTCCTGACATTCACTGGTTCAAAGATGGCAAGTAAGTACATTATAGCTTTTGTGGTTTCTACCTAGGTTGTTCCTCTTTTAGAATGTAGAGGAAGAAGGTGCACTATACCAGCAAGCTCAGCTTTTAACTACTTAGTGTTCAGTTATTGTCAGCAGATAAAATTTGTGGTGGTGTGAGGTGGTAAGTTCTTTAATCAAGTTAGCGTCCTGCTTTTCTTTGTCTCATTACTGACGCTGGCACTTGCAGACCAGATTTACAGTATTTGAAGCCAGACAATGCTTGAACCAAGACAAATTTTTTGAGGTTTTTTTATATCTGGATTATTTTAAATACATCGTTAGTTAAAATACAGTTGTTTTGCTGACATGATTTTTTCATTGGTAGACAGTACTACTATTAAACATTTTTCTAGCTAGTGCCTTGTGTAGTTCTGCATGTATTAAAGGTTTTAAAACATTTGTAGCCTGCATGTTTCAGTTCTTCATCTTATCTTTCAGGAGAGCATACCAAGAGAAGAATTTTTGGTGGCTTAAATATTAGCTGAAAACGAAAATGGGGTGTGTTTTTTTTAATAGTGTTGATGTTTAACAGTGTAGTTCAGTATAGGCATTGGCTAGTACTCACAGATATTCTGATGTGACAATTCCTTATTCTTTGGTATTAATATGTTGACACTTTCATCTAGTAAATGCAGACATTTTGTTATCAGCAAAGGACTGTCATGACCTAAGTAATTAGAAAAAGAAACCGAAATCAGGAGTAGGACTCTGGCTCTGATGCTGGCATCCTAGACAACCTAAAAAAGTACTCTTGTGTTTTGGTTTCTTCTAAAAACTAGGAATAAAGTTAATTATGATAGTTTGTCACTTTATGGTGGCTCTTCAGATTAATGCTGTTGCTCTAATGCTAAATGGTACAATTACTGCCATTAAAGGACACCTTCTTATTACTGTCAGTTTAAATTAAAGTTGAAAGGATGGAGTCAGAGTTCTGTGAAGCAAAATAATCTCTATTCCAGGCCCTTGTTTTTGGGTGATACCAATGTTGAGCTTCTGGACAAAAATCAAGTTCTGCACATAAAGAGTGCTCGAAGGATTGACAAAGGTCGTTACCAGTGCAGTGCCACCAACACTGCTGGCAAACAAGTTAAAGAAGTCAAGCTGATCATCCATGGTAAGTTTATAGAATGCCTGATTCTAGAAGATCCTTTAATTTTACAAAGACAAATATAAATTAAGGCTCTGATCTTACAAAATTTGTGTATAAACATAACTTATTACTCATCTGTCAACAAAGTGATCTTTTTGGGCATTTATGCATGTCAAGTTAAGTATGGATGTAGTCTTTGCAAGTGGCTTTTGTTTGCTTTTTATTAGTTTCTAATTGGTGAAAGCCAAAAATCTTGAATTGCCTTCTCAAATGTTGCAATTAATTAGTTTCAACTGAACTATTTTATCACATTGGCTTCATTATTTTGATCTGTCTTAGGGAGAAAATTAATTAGAAGATTTTTATTTTAATACGCTCATGTCTTATTTTCCTTAACCTAGTGCTATACGAGTAAATTCAGCCAGGAATAAGTTAAATTTAGTGCAAAAATATGAAGTAAAGTGCAAAACCAGTAAGAATTGGACCCAAATAGTCTTTGGAAAAGAATGTTGCAGTTGATCTTCAGGTAGCGTGGTATGTCGTCTTGCTTAAATTGCTGTAAATTGAGGTCATTTAGAGCAAGGGAAGAAATGCTAGCATGAGATAACCACATTTATAGCACACTGAGTACACTTTTTGTGTTTTTACAAGCAGGGGAGTCTTAGCAAAGACATGGACAACAGACAATTCCTATGATTAGTCTAGATAAGTTTAATAGGATTATCAGTTGGGAGAAAAGGAGAGGAAAGATTCATGGAAGAAGGAAGGAGTAGCTTTTGAATGAAGCCTTCAAAGGACATAAGAGGAAGAGTTTTTCAATTTAGAAGACAACATGTGAAAGCCCAGTCAGACCTGCAAACTGAAAGAACACAGTGCTAGCAGAAATTAGCAGGGAGGAAAAAGTGCAGAAATCTCTATAGATGAGATAACACTCTTCTGCCCAGAGTGTGAAGTGTAGGAATTTGAATCTGTGAGCCTTTAAGCTGATGAGTCCTCATTTGCTATGGATTTCCTTCTGAAGATTACATGTTTGTCTCTTCTTCTGATAACTGTGAATTTATAATACATTATTTCCCTCGTTTGGGACGTTTCTGAAGCATGGAGCAACCACATGCACAGAAATATGCTGATACACCAACCATAGTGAAGTTGTCTTCCACTGGGGAAAAAAGAGAATGCTGTGAGGACTGGCAGGTGATTATAGCTGTTGTAAGATTAGAGGAATAAAAAAATCACAAATAAAATCCTTGCAGATGAATAGACATCACTTCAGGTTCTTCAGAAGAGAGGTGAATTTGTGATAGTAGAATGGAATATCTCTTTTACTTTTAAATTTCTTATTAATCGTGGCTGGACAAATAGAAGCTTGCAGACTAAGTGAGGTACCTAGGTACTAATTTGTCCTAGTTCTTACTTTGTTTTAGCTGTTCAGCCCTACTTTTGGCTTTGATATTTTCCCAAAACACCACATTAAGACCGTTCCCCATCTCTGTGGATGAAAGCATTTGCTGACAGAGAAATGCGTTTGTCTTTGAACTGGGTGTGTTTCAGCATATTTCATAGGTTTGTGTATTTTTGCACACAAATTATTTAATTACGAAAATATTTCATCAAGGTTTGATTATCTGGAAGATCCATCTCATAGGTGTAGATCCATTCACTGACACTTTGCTTTGTGTTTCTATAGTGGCATTTTAAATGAACACTATGGAAGTCTAGGATATACTGAGCATGTTTGGCAGCAGAGGAGTTAATGTGTCTGCCAGATGTGTCTGGTACTTTCAGCAGTCATAAATTTAGTTGTTGCCAATTGCACTGTGTTTTTATTACTTCTACAGAGATTTACGAACTCTTTATATTGGCTGATTTACACGAGGGCTTGTTTGCTAGAAAAATCTGAGTACTGCTGCCTAGCGAGCAAGGGAAATGACTATGGGCCAAAAGTTTCAAAAATAGGAGCGTAAAGTTAGACTGTTAAGCTCGTATTTAGTCTCAAAGTAAGTGACTTCATCCTCAGAAGTTTTGAGTACTGAGCAGTTCCCACGCCAGTCGTAGAGGTTCTTGAATGTATTTGGTATTTTAAATAGCAGGTTGCTGTTCTGTGTTGGGAGGATGCACCTCCCAAGGTATACGGGGATTGTTCTTTCCCCTTGAGAGACAGGGAAGAGGCAGAGCCATGCCCAAATGCATCGCAGGATGCACGGAGGCCCAGCTGTCCTAACTTGGCATGTGGAGCCAAGAAGGTAAAATGTTTCCAGGTACTTTGAGTGGGGCAGCATGCTTTGCAGTGCCCCTTGCTGTGGCACTTGCTTTTTAAGCATATGGTGGCCCTTTAACATTAGATTCCATTTATGTTGTGTTCTCTTCATGCTTTCAACCCTTTTGTGTCCCAGAGAATGGTACAAGTGGTGTATAACTCTGCTGGAGAAAGAAACAAACAGAAAACCTCAGGAAGGGCTGGAAGTCTGATTAAGCTAAAATCTTGTATTCTTACAGCATTCTAATGTTTAATCTATTTAAATCTACACAGACTTGTATATTAAGGCTCTAATACTGTTGTTTTGTCTTTGGAAATAGTCCCTCCTAGTATTAAAGGAGGGAATATTACCACAGAGGTGTCGGCACTTCTTAACACTCTTATAAATTTGGAATGCGAAACCAAGGGAATCCCTGTTCCTACCATTACATGGTACAAAGATGGACGCCCAATTATTTCCAGCCCCCAAGCTCTGTATGTGGACAGAGGGCAATTGCTGCAGATACCTCGAGCCCAAGTATCGGATTCTGCGAAGTACACTTGCCGTGTGACCAGTGCTGCTGGAGCTGCTGAAAAAATATATGATGTGGATGTCTATGGTAAGCAAGAGTTTATTGAACTTGGTTATTTGCCACATTACAGGAAGTGTATTTTGAAAGCTTTTATGCCTTCCTAACATCAGCAGCCTTTGCAGGCCTGGCAAGGGTGAACAGCAGTCAATTGTTGCGCTTAAAGTCTGGCCTGTATTAGCAGGACCATGTAAAGGGAACTTTACACCCTGTACCTTGTGTGACTTCCCAAAAACTCTTGTGTTCAGGGGCCTTGGAACCATGCTTTAGTGAAGTATCAAAACTATTTCTTCTCCGTGCATTCTTTCTCTTCCTTCCATATACATGCTGAACGACACTTAGCTGAAATACCCACTCTGGGTGGCATCTTCAGCGTGTACTGTTTTAAGACCTTAACATTTAGTTCTTCTGTCTCAAAGCCCTGCAGATCCTCTATTTTATACAACTGGACAATATTGAGCTACATCATTTGACTTCTCTGTTTCCCTTTTGTCTTGGCTTGCCCCGGCAGCAAATTCTCACATGAAATTGTGCGTGACATAATGGCATATAGAGCCAAAGTGAGCAGGGAGGAACTAACCCGTTTGCTCTTAGTACATTTTCTGGCTACAGAATTAATCACTTGCAATATATTGTTTCCTTTCTACAGTTCCTCCAGTAATTGAGGGCCATGCTGACACAGCCCAGAACAGGCAGGTGGTTGCTGGCAATTCACTGACATTAGAGTGCAAAGCTGCTGGCAACCCGCCGCCCCTCCTTACCTGGTTAAAAGATGGTGTGCCTGTGAAAGCAAGTGACAACCTCCGCATTGTATCTGGAGGGAAGAAGCTGGAGATTCTGAATGCTGTTGAGGCTGACCGGGGCCAGTACCTGTGTGTGGCTACAAGCATAGCTGGAGAACAAGATATCAAATATGAAGTTGAAATCTTAGGTGTGTGAGCAACAGAACTACTGATTTATCAGACTTCCATAGACCTAATAAAGCATGCTTTTATTTTAGTTGTTATCGTTCTATGAAAGATCACTTAGTCAAGTTGTGCATACTTAGTTAAACCTGGGCACTGCACACTTTTTCTGTCCGGGGTTATGGGACAGCTTGAAGACTCTTACTTTCAGGTTAGTTCTTGAAGAGTTTTCGTGCATGTGGTAGGAAAATATTATCCTCACAAACCTTTAAAATTCTTCTAACTTGCCTTTCTAGAAGAAAATCATAGATATGGAAGGAGTTCATTAAAAAAATGTCACTGAGTAGTTGCCTGTGGGGGAAGAGCACATTTCTCTGAATTCGAGCTGTGTTGTGCAAATTTTGAACCTTTCACGAAGAAGATTTTTTTTTTAATTCTTTTTCCATTGAATCCTTTACCACAGTCTGAATCTCAGTAGTCCCTTCTGAATGTCCCTAAGTAAATGAATTATAAAAATGTTAATCACATTATCCTGACATGGAAGGGTTTATTTAAGAACTGTAAAGGCTTGATTTTTAGACTTTGAACTGCCGTCTTGAAGAATGTTCCATACTATTGCATGCAGATGTAGAGCATCCATTCTGCTGTTCCAGGTGTATCTCGCTGATCTTGCTAGTCAGTGAAGGAGCTAGGCGGAGCTGTATGGCAGAGCTTCCCCTCCAGCCCAGCCATTCCTGCGAGAGAATGAGACAGGGTGAAGAGGACTTGGAAGACGGTCCTCTGCACCTTTGTTCTTTCCTTCTGCTGACAGAGGGTGCTAAAAGTTGTCCTGCCACCCTCCTTCCTGGTCCCCTTCCTTCTACAAGGTTGTTCAGACAGAATCTGGAAAAAGCAAACAAACAAGAAACAATAAAAACAAATGAGAAGAGTAATTTGAAGCTACAAAATATCTTTGGGTAGATGTTTCACTTCAAAATGGAACAGTGGTGAACTGCAAATCTGTGCCTGTCCCAAAATGACATAGATGTCAAATTTTTTAACGTTACTATTTGAGATAGACTTTTATGACATTTCTAATGTTTAAATGTTTCTGTTGATGGATTTTTCTCTTACAGTCCCACCATTTGTGGAAGGTGGGGATGAGCTCCTGGACTACATTGTGATTCTTGATAGCCCTTTGGAGTTGGATTGTTCAGCAACGGGGACACCCTCACCAACTATCACGTAAGGGGATTGGTATGACAATAGGGGGAAAAAAAAAAATCTGTTGTTTGATGAGGTGAGCTTAGAGGTAGTCTTCATGAACTGCCCATTTTATTTTGTGATGGTTAATGTGTGGAGAACAAGCTCCTGGCTCCACTGAAGACAGCGTCAGGCACACACATGGGAGGATCAGGATTTTGTTTGTTTGGTACGTTGTGCCAAAGATGCATGCCCTGGAAATTAGGGTGGATAACAAGAGGGGACAAAATTCCCTTGCTGATGCAACTGTACACTTTTCATCTGCCACCAGTGACTGCTTTTGCTTTGGAGATATCTGTCTGCCTCTGGTGGCATCTGCTTCCACTACTGCTTCCCAGCTGTCATCTTTCTGATTTCTCTAGTGGCGGTTCTCCTATACTCTGTTCTTCTGATAAACCACTTTGGTCTGTGGCACTCAGAAAAGCAGAGTAGTACCTGACATTTCCAGACCTTCCAAGAAACATAAATAGAGGTACCAAGACATTCTTTTTAGTGGAATTGTGTGTATTTTAGGAGTGTTGTTGATTTTTGTTTCATAAAGATCTGAGATTGTACTTTCTTTTTGGTAGGTGGTTGAAAGATGGTCAACCAGTTGAAGAGGGAGCTGGACATAAGATCTTATTAAATGGACAAAAACTTCTCATCTCTCGAGCTCAAGTATCAGACACTGGCCGCTATAAATGTGTGGCTGCAAATAAGGCAGGAGAATATGAAAGAGAATTTGATGTTACTGTGCATGGTAGGTTACTCAAGGGCAGCGGGGAAAGCAGCAGACTGCCTTTATTTTTTAAATTGCTGGCAAGAAGGTGCTTTTATTTTCTGTAAATGTTTATTTGTACTAGCAGGTTGAAAAATTGGAGGTGAGAGTAGGTGACATAGAAGCAGAGCTACGCTTACCTGTGGGATATTCCTTCTATATATTTAAATGTATGTGTTCAAATTATACTTTTTTTTTGTTTCTGGTGCTTCTTGCAGTTCCTCCAACCATCAAATCAGCTGGGACTTCTGAGCGAGCTGTTGTGATATACAAGCCTGTGACTCTGCAGTGCATAGCCAATGGCATTCCCAGCCCTTCCATAACTTGGTTAAAAGATGGTCAACCAGTAAACACAGCCAGAGGAGATATAACAGTAAGCACTACTCTTTCATGGGATCCAAACCATGAAAGACAGTTACAATAAGTTACACATGTTAGTACTTTTCCTTTTGCTTCCCTCATGCTCTGATATAAAGATGCTAAAGATCCATCCTGGGGAGCAATGGGCTTTTTACATGAATAGGATGGTATCTTGGATTGAATAGCAGTATTTAGTCGATTGAATCCCATTATATACGTTCATACCAGAAGAGTCCATGAAAGGAGCATCCGGCTCCTTTCAGTTGTACTTTAACCTTCAAGGTGTGGTTGTCTGCCAGTTACAAGGTGGCTCTACCAACTTGTCACTGTGAGGAGGGATTTAGATGAGCTTTTCTATAAGCACTGCCATTGCAGGACCTACCTATATGTTTCCTTCCCATTGTGAGAATCTGACTTTCAATGAACAGCCCTTCCCAGTGCTTGCATTCTCCAAGGGGTCGAGCGCTTGTAGTGACTTGGATTTACTTTAGGCTGGAGCAATTTTTGACGTCTTGCCAGTGGCAGCTTTCTCTGCCTGCAGCCGCCTCTTCATCATGTTTGCCTGCCCCTCTGCCATCTAGGTTTCTTCACAGCTGTACAGCTAATAATCCTGATGTCCCAGGAGCACTGAAGTCTCTGAACTATCAAGACACCTCTTGCATGAATATTAGCCCCAAGTTAGAAGATGAACCCTGGCTGTATTCGGTATAAATGTGTGCTTTGCCATTATGCTCAGTGGTTCTGCCTGGAGTCGTTGTGTAAAGTGGTTCCCCACTCTCTGTTTTGGTACAGCTGGAGTCTTCAGGCCGTATTCTTCAAGTTGTCAAGGCCCTGATCGAAGATGCTGGCCGATACACTTGTGTGGCAACAAATGCTGCAGGAGAAGCCCAACAGCACGTTCGGCTTCATGTGCATGGTAAAGTTTCTGCCTTTAGTTAGAAGCTAAATGTGGCTGTTTTAAGGCAACTTTTTTACATCTGTATTCTATTTTAAGCTCTCTAGCATTTTTGTTGTCTCTGCATATCCATCTTCCAGTTTGGTTTTTTTGTCCCACTCCATTAGTAAGAAGTCAAGGCAAAAGCTTCCTTGGGACTTAGCCTTTCTTGTGTGGTACCGAGGGCCACAGAAATGAATGCCTTTCCAGTTAACTCTTCTGTTCAGAGGTATCCCAAGAAGCCAAACGGTTTGCCACTAACCCACCACTCAGAAGGGTGCTCTGTGTTTCTGAATCAAGATATGATGTACCACTGTTGGTATTATGAATTTGATCTGAGTCTTCTGGGGATAGTGGCATTCCCCGTGACCTTTCAATGGGGAAATTTTAAAGGAATGACTTTTCTGAGAAAGAAACATTCTCTTATTGCGGGGAATTTTCAGACTGTTTAAAAGGAATTTTATTTTTCGTCTGAAAACAGTATAAAAGGAATCCGGGAAACTTAAGAAGCTGTCATTTGCATGTGAATTTAATAAATGCTCTCACCGTGATTTATGCATATTTGACTCAGAAGTGGTAACAAAGTGGTATGCATTCTTGATGTGACCTAATCCTTAAAGGATACAGGAGGTGCAAGAATGGACTGTCCCAAAATGCTCATGATGAGTATGATTATATTGACTTTTATTCTCAAACCAAATTTCCAGTAACTGGAAAATGATAAAGTGAAACAAAAAGAGATTGCAGCATCTCCATGGATGAGATTTAGAAAGAGAAACCATGCTCATCTTATACTATGATAATTTAATCATAGTTAATTTTAGTGTCAGTCCCATGTTCACAAATACCTCTCTTGTTCACAGTCTTCCTGTTCAAAGTGTCATTATCTGGTGTTTCTGTCATTTTGCAAATTTATAGACTTTAGTAAGGTAAAGAATCTTGGTTTTTTAAAAGCCGTGTACAACGTTCAGTTTAATGTTACCACTTCAAGTGAGATGAGCTTGCCACATTAGAAGAATTACTGTTCTGTTATGCACCCATTTCCTACAAGTCCATTTAAGTGCCATTTTTCCTGGAAAAAAAAGTAATAAAAATAATGTTTTATTCCTATTAACACTAATGAGATTATATAATTAGAGAGTATTCTTGTTTCAAAGATGAACTTTCCTGAGAAGTTCCTCGGTCACCCAGCAGTTAGTTGAAGCTTGTGCAATTCATTGCCCAAAGCTTCTCAGATGGCAGATCACTTTGTGATTAGATGTTCTGCTAGCGGGGTGGCCAAATTAATGAAAACCTGATGTCTCTTGTCTTTTCCCAGAACCACCCAGTCTGGAAGATGCAGGGAAAATGTTAAATGAAACAGTGGTGGTGAATAATCCAATCCATCTTGAATGCAGAGCATCTGGGAACCCTCTGCCAGGTATGCACATGCACCTTTGAGAACATGAAGCAGATCTGATAAAAGGTTTCCACTTTGCGTCTTTTGAAAATAATGGGTATTCTGAATGTGAAGTTAATTCTGTGGGTTTTAAACTATCTAGAAACTATTAAACACTATGTATAGTGGGAAATGTCAATATATCAACTCATGTGGAGTGAGTACTGATGAATTCAGTAATCCCCATCATTTTTAATTAAATGAATGAAAAACAAGGGTAAGTTACTCCCTTGTGTGTACAGCAATGCCCTGTCTGCAGACAAGAATACTGTTAGACTTCTGCTAAATCAGCTTTAAACACATCTGCTATTTTCCCCTGTCAGGTCAATATTTTATAGCATAGGGCAGATTTAAAATAATACCTTGGGTATTGAGTGTGCCTGTCAAATGCAGCCACATCTAGGACCTTATCTAAAGTCTATTGAAATTAATAGATGGCTCTTTGTTTGGTCTGGGCCCTTTGCCTATGAGAGTGAGTAGATTTTCTGTGTGTGTACAGTGCTTTCTGCGGCTTGCCCCGATGATAAATTATACTGATGAATTTGTGGGTACCCCTTATATTCTAAGCTTTGAAAACCAGGCCGTGTATATCTGTTTGAGTTTTATTTTCCTCACATTTTGTGAAATTATATTTTTTCCTTTTTTTTAAGGCCCATTAAGACTGATTTTTAATTGTTTCTGAACTAAAAAAAATCTTAATCAATCTGGATTTTAGTTACTTCACTGCTGGGATGCTCTCAGCGCTAAGATTTTTGGATTAAGTCTTTTTTTAGTTAAGCTTTTTAGTTCCTATTGGTGAGATCTGCAGATAAAAATTTATTTCCTTTTTTCCAGTGTGTGTCTTTTGTTCCCACCTTATTCTGATGGGATATAAAAATACCATGTTAATATGAGAATAATATTCTCTATTAATTATTAAATATTGTACAGCAAAACTTGGGGAATAGTGTATAACTAATATCTTATATCAAGTATATAGATTTATTCTTGTGCTGATGATAGTCCCATTTTCAGAAGAAAGGTGTTACTAAATTTCAGGTGAGCATCCAGGTTCACCTTCTCCACCTTTTAAAAAATTAGTTCTCAGCAAAGTATTATTTTCTAGAATAATTTATACCTGTATAAAACAAAATTTGAAATTATTGGGAGTATATGTAAAATGCTATGAAAACGTAAGGATTTTCTATCCATTTTGCACTCTCGTTTTTCATCAAATTGCCAATTATTTTAGAACAACAATTAAATTGATGGAGTTCCTATAATTTGTACAGTAAAGCAGTTTGTTCACCTCTTCCATTTATGATGTGATGCTACATACTAATGTCAAGGTATGACATTAGCTAAAAAAGAAAGTGATAGCACATCATCACACTGAAAAAGAAGATTGCCTGCAGTCTTGTTCATCAGTCAGGCCAGATTACTTCTTGAACGTGCGTCTTTCACAGAAAACTTGTGTATTATGGAAAATGATCGAGTAAGTAGCAGTTTCATTGAACTGAACAGTGAAATGATGCCAGTAAAATATTAGTTACACATTCTGCTGATGGAGGCTGCCATCTTTTGGCTGACATGCAAAAAAGGTCTTCAGATCTTGTTGATTATCAAGTTCCTGTAAGATTTTCTTTTGCAGTAATACCAGTTTTCTTGGCTTGACTTTCAGTTTCTCAGCCTGCCAGTCGAACTTTGATTTGGTTGCTTGCATCTTGATTCTGTAAACTTTCCCAGGTGATTTGGTTTAATGTAGCAATACTTTAGGGGAAGAGGTGAAAAAATAATACATGTCGTATTATCATGTATTTTTAAACAGCTGCTGTTTGCCTTGGTATGAGATGAGTAAACCCTTTACAAGTACACTTTGTGTGATAACTTTTTAACTTCACACACTTTTTTCATAAATACATGGTGTGCATGGATGATAGTGTCAAGTTTGCCATTGAATTCTCTAGGCATTGTCAGTATTTTGCACAAATGTTACTTATTTCCTCATTTTGTAGTTACTTTTTATTGTGACTAATTACGATTAATATTGATATTGGTTTGTAAATGTTGGTGTTATGTATCTGAAAACTTACATGGGAAGCTTGAAGACTGTTTGGTCCCTTTGTTTGTAATGGGGGTATTTTCGGCAACTTTTCCATCTTGCCTTTTACTATGCAGCTATCACGTGGTACAAAGACAATCGTCCGCTTACCAGTGCTGCAAGCGCCACTTTTCTGAACAGAGGGCAGGTTCTGCAGATTGAGGGTGCTCAGGTCTCCGACACTGGCATTTACAAGTGTGTGGCTGTCAACACAGCAGGCACAGCTGAGTTGTTTTACAGTCTTCAGGTTCATGGTAAGTATTTCAAAGCTTACGAAAAACACCTACATGCACTTTTCAGGTTTCAAGTGCTTAGCAGACTTACCATTGCTCATCACACCATCATACTCGAAGACATATGTACAGGGGTCAGAGGGAAGAAAATTCACTCTTCTGTTTTTCAGCCACATTAGAATACATGTTTTGAATAAGGAAAATGTGGTAAGGGAAGTCAATTCTAGGAAGAATGAGCTGAGACACCAGATTTGTGGAAGAGGTATTAACATTATCACTTCAGCAATTTGGAAGGCCTTGCAATTGCTGGGTTTTGCTGTAGATGACTTTAAAGCTCACAGTAGATAAAGGACACAGATCAAATGCTCTTTCATAATCCAAGAGTTTTAAAGAAAAATGTACTGTGTCTAATAACATGAAGTAGAAGTGTGGGTGTTTGCAGACATGAGACATCTGATCAAAAGCCAAATTGGAGCTTTTCCACTGATTTTAGTGGCTTTTGGATGGGGCTGTAATCCAAATTCTTATCTCTGATACATGCATATGCATGTAGCTGTTTTTATGTGGGAGTCTTCCATGCAAAACTGGCCCAAATTTGGCACAGTGTCCCCAGCTGAGATGCACACAGAGTATATATTTCCTATTAATGTTAATTAACAAATAATGAGTTGGGCAGTACGTTTCCACAGAATTAATGACCATCATGAGAAAAACTGATGGCTCAAGATGTGATCAAAGGCAATTAACCCCACCCAGTGATTAATTCCCAGGAAATATTTAAAGCCAAGGTCATTATTCTGGTTAAACCAAAAAAATGAAAAATAACTCCTAAGTATATGTGTGTCTTTTTATGGGTGTCGGAATTTCAGTGGATATGTCCAGGGTTTTCTAGGGAACTAGTACTTTCCGACTTAGACACTTAAAATTGTTTCCCCTTCCAGAACAGAACAGATGCAGTTGCAGCCAGAACTAATTGCATCGAAGGAAGCTTAAACACCTATCCATGAACCTACATAATTCAGCTTGTGTTGTGCCAGGCTTACTATGGGGTGCTTTTTCAATTTACCATGAACAAGCTTATCATCCAGTTTACTTAGAGTTTATGAGTTTGAGGGAACTCGAGGTTTTTCCCCTCTTGATAGTGGAAGCAAGGATGACTACTTAACGGAGAACAGACTCTTGAAGCATCAAGCACGGGGAGTTATGCTGCAGTTACTGAAAGCCCGCTCTAGACTTCTGTATGGCAGCTGGCATTGTGAATGACCACCTATGTTGGTCAGTTACTACTTTTGTTGTTAAGTGTTGTGGATGCAGTAGCTATGGTAGAAATTATCAGGTCATTTTTGCATTAAAAACAATGCTTGATACTGCAGGCTTAGCATTAAATGAAACTAGGTGGGCCTGCGGAAGGAAGCAGGTTGACTTCCAGTTTATATATTCATATGATTTCATTGTATTATTTTTTCCTACTTCTTTCTCACCACTATAGCTTTTTTTCAGGCATTTGAGAACAATGGATGCTGTTGTGGTGAAATAGAGGAACTGTGTGCATGCGTGTGGGGAAATAAAGATTATAAAATCACACTTGCTTTTTCTCTGTAATTTCTGCTGCTATTGGAATTTATCCAAGAGTAGGTAGTCTGAGTTAAAGGCTGTTAGAGGTTCCTTAATTTATTAATGAATCTTTCAGTACAGAATTTTATAAATTTTTTTCCTTACATAGGGTATGTAAGAGTAGATTATACCATTCTCATATCTTTCGAGGTGTGACTTCAAGTATTAAGTTTTAGTACTGATACTGACTGTAAAGCTTTATTACTAAGTTATTAGTGGTAGGAGCATATAAAATTGTTTTGATTCTCCTGGTAAGTGAAACATCTCTGTTATTAATACTTCTTGTTGCCCTACAAAATTTCCTAGACTGTATACCTATAGTAAATGTTTTGAGATGTTTCATTAAGAAGTTTTTTATCATCGGACAGGCAGATGTTACGCAGTTTAATCTGGTAAGTGTTCTCTGTGTATACTCTGCAAGGCCAGTTTATTACTCTGTGTATGTATTTGCTTTATGCAGTTTATATGGTAAACTTCTGTCTTTAATCCCCACCACTCTTAATGCCTTTCACAAGGTCTAAATGGAACATTATAAAAGTTTGAGGGAATATTTTCTGGTTTTATGTTATGGTTCCTGGGTTTCGCAGCTGTCCTCTGGGCCATGGGCCTGTGCCTGCTTACCTTGCGCACAGTGGTTTTGCTGAAGTTGTCTGACTGCTTATGTAAGTAAAGAGCAGGATTTGGCACAGAGCAAACAAATGACAAGAGCTCAGTAGGAGTAACATGAGAAATCATTCCAACAGTGCCTTGCAGAAAGAGAAACAATGTTCAAAAGCAAGCAGCCCAGTTAAATTCATTGTGATTAATACTCTTACCTAGGTGTTTCAGCTTTGTTTTCTTTTTTTTTTTTCAGTCCCACCATCAATCTCTGGCAGCAGCGACATGGTGACAGTCGTGGTTAATAATCTAGTGCGACTGGAGTGTGAAGCAAGAGGCATCCCTGCGCCTATTCTGACCTGGCTGAAAGATGGTAGCCCTGTCTCCAGCTTTAGCGATGGACTCCAGGTACTGGGTTCAAATCCTGCTGTCTGTGCTGTTTCCTGTTGTGGTAGGAGACCTTAAAACCGGTACAATTTAATGGAACTGTATAAGCTATAGATTTTGGAATGAGAGTATAGGGCTCTAGGTTAGTGGTGGAAGTTAGCTCCAGTAGTTACTGTGTGAAGTAGAAGATATGGATATATTGAAATAAGGTGGTTCTCTCAACTGATTTCATACTGAGTAAGAGTTTCCATCAGCAAATTTTTCACTTACTGTCAAGAAGAGGAAATTGGACCATATTCCTATGCTGAAGAGATATGTAGAGGTCAAGATTGTGCAATGTCTCATTACATAAAATAGTAATTAATAACAAAAAGAAGATCCCTGATTTAAGGAGATGGAGTTAGAAGGAGAGGGCATGGCTGCTTTATGAAAGCTAATTTTATGATCTGAAAGGGAAGGGGGGAAATTTATATACTCTGGACAACTCAGGGCACAGACAAAAGGTGTGATAGAATGTTTGAAACTGGTAAGAGGGAGGAACATCCAGATCCTGCAAAGACATGCGAATGCCAGGAGTTGCCCTACGGACTTGCATCATCACCACGTACCAGTACTTAGGGGTAGCTATAAGGAAGATGGAGACTCCCTTTTTACAAGGAGTCACATGGAGAGGACAAGGGGGAATGGACACAAGTTGATCTTGGGGAGATTGCGATTGGACATGAGAGGGAAATTTTTCACAATGAGAACAGTCAACCATTGGAATAATCTCCCCAGGGAAGTGGTTGACTCTGTCACATTGGACACTTTCAAGACTCAGCTGGACAGGGTGCTGGACCATCTTCTCTAGACTGTGCTCTTGCCTAGAAAGGTTGGACCGGATGATCCTTGAGGTCCCTTCCAACCTAGGATTCTATGATTCTGCTTTGGCAGGCCTCCATCAAGAGAACAACATTGTAGGGAAGAGTGTAGGAAGCAGAGATGGTGGGAAGCAGTGGCAAAACAAGTATTTTGTTTTGAAATGAAACCTAATAGTTTTTTCTGTGTTTCACATTGAGGCATGTATTCTCAACGTGTTGTGCTTGTATTCCAGGTTCTGTCTGGGGGCCGAGTCTTGGCATTGACTAGTGCTCAGATCAGTGACACAGGAAAATACACTTGTGTTGCAGTGAATGCTGCGGGCGAAAGCCAGAGAGATATTGATCTCAGAGTTTATGGTGAGATTTTCTGACAAATCCCTATTTTTTTTTTTATTTTTTTTTTTGTTTATGAAAACTGTTCATGGAGCTTTAATTAAACACACTATGGACCAGACCTTTAGCAACATTGAAGAAAAATCGTTCCAAACCATAATGAAAGGCAAAGTGATGAGGTGTGTGTATGAAAGTAAAAAAATATATATACATACATACATACACATGTATTAAAGCATGTATGTATGTTGTACCGTGTATCCTTGAAGAAATACAGGTGCAACAGTGAATTTTAAGTTTAATACATAAAGGCTCATTTATAAAAGATAGAAGAAAATGTGTTTTTCTTTATGTAAAAAACATGTAAATCTCACAGGAAAAGATATTATTGGGGCCAGAGCTCAGTTGTCTTTAATGAAGCGGAACGAGTCAATGTGAGTTTGCCATATAGCTGTCCAGTTTCTGTTCCATTTTCAAGACCTTGCTATGCCTGCCTAAATGGTGGTGACTTTTAGTGCTAATGATGACACTGTATTGAGACTAACCAGTCAACTTTGTCTCTTTCAAGAAGCAGGGAATGTATTTTTAGCTTTTGAACTTTGCCAGTTTTCCAAATTATGTCAGTAAGTTAATTCTGAAGTATTTTTGACTGAACTCATGTGAATTCATCCTTCCTTCTGATTTCTTGTAACTTGTATGAACTTCATCTGGTTTGCTTATGATTTGTGTAAGATGCCTTTTCATACTGCTTGCTTAGTGTGATCATTGGTGATGTACTGATTATCAAAGAGCATCACACACTGCCAGGAGGTTGACTGTAGCAAGTTTTCAGTTTCCCTGGACAGTTCAGTAGTTTTGTACACCAGTGAAATGAGGATCTGCCATTTGTTTTAGAAATCTTACAGTACCAGATGTGGAGAGAGAGTTTTGGAATTGAAGAACCTTTTGTGGCTTTTGCTTCTGTGTTCAGTAGGTCAGTGGAGAGAGGACTGTTTTGGGTCTGCTAATCTCTAGCTTTATGGCAGCTGTAAGTGGAAGTCTGGAAAACCTTGCAAGAGAAGTTTGGGTATTTTCTAAGGTGAATAGGGACAGCTGGCCAGGTTATTCGTTTTTGAGTTTGGCTTTCAGAATTGAGTTCCGTGTAAATACACTGTGGTTAGGATACTCGGGACTTGAGTCATGGCTACTTTTGCATTGGCAAGGGGCAGTTCAGAAAGTCAGGACTCTGGCATGGCAAGCAAGCTCAAGGTTAATGTAGGCTGGAACACTTCGTGTCTAGAGAAAGAAATATCAAGGTCCATTCTGGAGTTTGAGGAGAAGTGTGTATGTATATGTAACAACACAAGTGTCATGGATGTATTATTTATCTTCTATTTTCTGGAACTTATGTCCATTTTAGCTAGATGAAATTAAAAGTTAGAAGTTGTGTATGCTTAAAATTACTATTGTATTAAAAGCTGGCCAGGGTTGAGCTCAGCTGCAGGGCCATCTTGAGTGAGGCTGTGACCAAAAATTAATATTACTCTTAGGACTTGCTTCATGTGGGTAATCTAATTAAGAAGTCATAGGAGGAGAGTAACTTGAAGTGCAGTTGGAGCTGAGATGGTTAGAAATGTGCAGTGCACTGAGCCGGTCTAGGAGTTGGAACAATCTGGGTGACATACAGTTACCATGAGCATAATTAGATTAATTTTAAACCCTGTTCCTTCAGAAACAAATGCTTTAGTGTCTGTCTCTCTCTTTCATAAACTCAGTTTCCTTTTGAACACATTTTAATTCATTTAGCTGAGAGGAAAAGTAATTGGTGGAAAAGTATTTGGAAATAAATTTGCCTTCTGCAGTAATGGATCCAATTTTCAGTTCCACAATACTTGTAAAGACTCTGGGCCTTTGTGAATTCTACAAAGAAAGTAAGATAAACAGATTTTTTTTCATTTACTGTATTTCTTATCCACAGAGACCAGACTTTTCCCTAAATTATTTCCAAGCTGTGAAATCAGCTGCTCTGCTTAGTACTTCCTATGCAAGAAAAACAAAGCTTTATTGTTAATGTTATTTTTCAAGACATCTTGAGAACTCTGTTGCTGGTTTACTGAGTATCACTTTGGGACATTTTATAATCTCATGTGTGCTGATTAATCCAGTATCTTTTTGTTCAGAGTGAAGCCCAAAATATTTCTCACAGAAAGTCCTACTGCTTCCCTTATTTTTACCCCAATATTTTGTGCAATCAGACATGCAATTTCTGGAGTAATGTCTTGCAAAACTAAAAAGCCGAGGAAAAGTGACAATAAAGTTTCTTGTATTTGGCCCTGGTCAACTTTTTTTGGGCAAACTGAACAGTCTTATTACACAATAAGCATAAAAACCCTACTGGGTGCATGTAGCCAGACAGAAGTAATTCTTGCTAGGAGAGTTTTGATCTTGTAAATATTTTAATTGCAGATATAATGTTGCATTAATGTCAAGAGTTTACAATGAACATGCTTTATGTTTTTAAATGACAAGAAAGGAAAGGGAATCCCTATGGGTTGTTTTAAGGTTTTAAGAACGTATATGCCGTTAAGGACACGAACAGGAATTCTCTTCTGGATCATGCTGAAGCAAATCAGTAAAAGTGCTTCTGCTCTCTGCAGTTTGCTGTAGTTACCTGTGTTAGTGATGCAAATGAAGGCACCTGACTTGCTGTGGTGTGCATGACAAGCGGTCGCAAATTCTGTCTCACTGGCTCTGATCTGAGAAAGGGAGCCTCTGGAAGAGAGCTGGTGATAAGCAGCAGCAATGCAGGTCATGACGGCCTACACCAGTCTTGCTATTTTCCAAGTCAGCATGCGTCTGATGCTGAAATACTTTAAAACTCTTAATGTGGCAATATTCTGTCAATAACTCAAAGCTGCCTGGGGCAGTCTCAGAAGATTTCTTCCAACCGATGATACAGCATGCCATTACCAAAGGACATTCGGTTCATCCATGAATACTGATACAAAGCCATAGTTGGCGAACAGTTCTTGGTCTGTAACCTTAATCACTTAAGCTTATCTTGTGAGTCTGACACTTCCTCCTTTTTCTTTTTGACTCCAGTCATGAACACTTTCCCCGTGGAAAGCTGCTCACTTGCTGTGTTCCAAGAATTAATTCTCAATTGCCGCCTCAGTTGCTTTGTGTTTCTGACTGTGGAAACACAAATAATTCTAAAAATGGGGGAAAAAATGCCTTTTCCTGAATCTTGACGCTGTTCAAGAACAGCTAATGGGCTTCAACTTAAATGTCCAGAAGCACTTTTTTTCTTCTACACAGAAAACTTACATTCCAAAAGCTGATTTTTCTATCCTGTAATTTGGAGATAATAGTGTAGTAATGAGGTTATCACTGAAACTGTAGTACGAATCTAAATACAGTGCTTGGTGCCAACAGCTGTAATAATTAGCTAGCAGATACCACACAAACCAGATAGATTATAAAGTAATTGTAGATTATGACTTGATGATTAAGTTATTAACCCATTCACTTGGCTGCAACCACATAAGTTCTTATTCTGTCTTCTGTATTTGTCCATCTCTGGAGAAAATTCTTCTTAAACTCAGAGCTCTCCTTAAAGCCAAGTATCCATTTTGGCACTGTCTGGAAGAGTTTAAGACATTTTCAGCTTCTGGGTCTGATTATTATCTTGTGAGCCTTCTCACTCATCAGTTATTTTTAGCAGGAA